GACCCAAAACGTTAACTCTGTTTTTTCCTTCACAGATGCTGCCAGATGTGCTGGGTTTTTCCAGCAACTTTGTTTTCGTTCCTGATTTACAGCATCCGCAGTTCTTTCGATTTTTACTATATTCCTTTTATTTTTCTCATGTCTGGTTTGGAACAGTGCTGAAGTTGAGCATCAAACTTTGAACAGTAGCTTGTTTTAAAAAAGACAAAGACAGATGCTTATATTGAGAAACGGGCCTGGAAAGATAATGCAGGTTAATTACTGCTCTAACGAACAGTATAGATGCTTTGACACTGAGATGTTGCTATGCTCAGGCACTGATAGCTGGTCAGATGTTGAACTGGTCAGAGAGGGTGAAGTGTACAGAGAGGGAGAGACCCGCTTTTGACACTTTCAGTTTTAGTAATATTGATTGAATCAGGATTTTACCATTTGTGTAATTTATTCAGTGATTTATTCTGTAATCCAAGATGCTGTCAGAACATAGTGACGTTACCCACTTTTCACTGCACCTAGGTACAAGTGACAATATTAAATCAATCTAATCTAATCAAGGGAGGACCAGTGCTGGCCAGCCAACCACAGAGCATGTTGAAGGAAAAAAGGAGAAAACAGAGTGAACTGTTTCAGATTGGGGTTTGTGTTTTGAAGGCTTCCGGACAGTGCTGTTTTGGTTTTGCTCACTCTGATTTCACTCCAGTTACCGACTTGATGAATGTTTCGAGAGGAAAGTCCCAGCCTGGAAGAAGTGGGTGAATAATTCTGGAAGTCTGCTGAAGCTGTTTGCGTCAACTAGTGACTTTGGAATTCAAGCAAGACATAACAATCCTAAGTGCCTGCAATATGACCCATCATCCAAGGATTTCACGGAGGACTGATATTCTTTGCTGAAACTGTTATTGAACTAGTAAATTAAGATTCTTTTATTTTCTTTCTCAATTCATCTCTTAACTGCGTTTATTTGTCTATTGGCATGTGGGGGTGGTATCAAAGATGATTGAGCCTAGATTGTAGACATTAATTACATTGCCTTGTTTAACTGTATTCAGCTTAAGTTACATTTATTAATAATAAATTGTTAATTTTTGTTTAAATTATCAACTTGATATCCATGACCTGTTATTCATAAAGTCTTAGTAGGAACAATTGAGCAAATGAGGGTCATTGAATGCTTTGATTTCACTGTGTTGTGAGTCCAATGATAGTGAGGCTCTTTTTGTTTGGCTTGCTATCCTTGTCAAAGTGCCTGATTAACGTGGGGAATCCTTCAGCAGCTAGCTAGCTATCATAGATGCAATGCCTATAATCTTCCATTTTTTATCCATTACCTAGGATATATGGCACTGATGTAGCCCATGTGGTAGTAATGCTCCACTTGAATCTCTATCCTTACCACAACCACATTATCCTCTCCAATGTAGAAAAAAGAATATCTACTCAAGAGTAAAGCTTTCAGTATAGCTTCAATTTGAAAACACACAAGAATAGGAATTCCTTTGCAATCAGCTACCATAGTGACTAACAGCTTTTATACAGAATCATTGTAATTATAGTATATATGCAGCTCTGCAGCCCAGTATGTTTTTCCAGCGCTTGTTCCTCATAGAATTTCACAGCAAAAAACAAAAAAACAGGCCAAGAGGGCCAACCATTCCATCTTGGTACTTACACTTCGTAAGAAGCCTCCTCCTCTCTTAACACTAAGAATTATCTTCAATTCCTTTCTCATTAATTTTTATCTAGCTTTGCCCAGAATATATCTGTGCTATTCATTTTGGGGTAAAGAGTTCCATATTTTCACCACTCTCTGAACAAAGTTTCTCCTGAAATACCTATTTGATTGTTTTAAAGCACCTTGCTGAGATAAGTTTAGTTTAAACTTCACCAGCTACTGCGGTGGGATTTGAACTCATATTCCTAGAGAATTAGTCTAGGCCTCTGGATTAGTAGTCCATTGACATCACCATTTTTGACACCACCTCTCTATTTATTAAGGGCTGTTATACATTTGGTCGCATACTTCCTAGGATGTTAATGAGGGAGGTTCAGTAATATTATTGCCATTGCACTATAGAGGGAGAGGGTTAGATCCTTGCTTATTGGAAACTGTCATTGCTTGGCATAAGTTTAACATAAATGTTTCTTGTCACTTATCAGCTCAAGCCTCATGTCCCAGGCTTGCTGTGTGTCAGCACTGTAATCATGAGTGAACATGCCCCATTTCTGACCTTCAAGGAAAAGTCATTATGAAGCACCTGAAGATGGTTGAGCCCAGGGCACTAGCTTGATGAACTCCTATAAAGTCCTGGATCTGAGATGATTAGCCTCCAGCAACCATAACCATTCTCCTTTGAGCTAGGTATTACTTCATTCAGTGAAGAGGTTGCCTACCACCCCCACAACTTTTCATCGACTTCAATTGTACAAGCGTTCCTTGATGCCACATTGAACGGGTTCAAATGCACATCTTATGCAATGTGTTTGGCTCTTAACTATCCTCTGGGCAACTGGGATGGGCAATAAATGCTGGCTAGGTAACAACATACACATTCCATTCCAGGCTATGACCATCTGAACAAGTAAGAGTCCAACCACTTTCCTTTGGTATGTAATACACTACCATTGCTATTGATCAGAGAATCAGTGTGCAACTTACCACCAACCAGCAACTGAACTAGATGAATCACATGAATACTTTGGCAAGAACAGGTCAGAGGTTGGTAATGTTGCAGTAGATGATCAACTCCAAACTTCCCAACTGCTCACCATCTACAAGGCATAAGTCAGGAGTGTGATGGAATACTTTCCACTTGCCTGGCATCCCGATCACCTTAAACATTCAGTTCCTGCACCACCAGTGCACAGTGATTGCAGTGTGTACCATCTACAAGATAGACTGCAGCTCTCTTTTCTCCAGGTTTGGGCCAAGGCTGAAATGATGCCTAAATCAAGTAGGTGTGGCAGATTACAAATAGAGTTTTGATGTACAGATTAGTGATCACTAAATGTTGCTCCATAGCTTGTCAATATATTTTCCAGAACTTTGATTATAATGAAGAATAGTCAAATAGGATGTTGTTGTTTCGATTGCATTTGTCCTGTTTTTTATGTACAGAATGTACCGGGTCAGTTTTCCACATTGTACATTTCAGTGTATATATAAAAAATAAAGAGCTTGGAAAGAAGCACAGCTAATTCTGGAGCACAAGAGCTAGCGTATTATCCAGATTCATTGTCTTTTCTGCATCTTGTACACATGGCCATTTCTTGATACCATCTGAAATAAATTAATTAGCTGCAAGCCAGTAGCTGTAATGATGGGGACCTTGAGCAGGATCATTCATTCAGCACTTCTGAATAAAAATGGCTGCAAATGCTTCAGCTGTATCACACACATTCAATAGAGGTTGAGGATATTCAGAGAGTCTTTTCCTCCAATTAGTTGTTTAACTGTTTGTCACCACTCAACAGGGTTTGAGCGCGTTGCAGATTTTCCAAAGTAAGAGTTCTGGTGGTGACACAGCTTAGCCCTGTCAAGAGCAAGTTGCTTTCAATATTTCGCATGCTTAAAGTCCTGTGCTCCATACTCACCAGTTTGGTACTGTGTTGAAAGGTAGTTTTGATTTCAGAACAAAACATTCAAAGTTTAAATTCAGAGGAAGAGTTCAGTTTAGAAGGCAGGTTCCAGAGATGGTTTCAAGTGTGAGCTGGATATATAGAGTCA